GAAAAATTTGGAGAAAATATTTTTAAGTCTCGAGACCCCATTACCTTTTTCCTAGTCTCTTTCCTTTTAAATTAGAAAGTTCCAAGTCCACGAAAAATTCTATAAAAACCCTTAAATCTTAATTTTTATTAAGTATGGGTTTTATGTTAAATTCGAGTAGTGAGATAGATTATTAATATATTATCTCGCTTAAATGTAGGTGTTTGAGGAGTCGAGCCCTCAACCTATGAACTTGCTTTTGTGTGATATTCTACCTTGATTTCCAGGTGGGTTTTAATCTAAAATTTGCTATGTTATAATTGAGGTAAGATTTTTATACTGAATGTCTGTGAATGTATGTGTGAGTCATGAGACGGTGCCTAGTGGTGGGCGATCTCTAACCTTGTGATAGGTGGACTCATTTTAGCCTAGTCGATGGGCCGTGACTGTTGATGTTGAACCTCGGCACGACTGTACTCCCGCTGACGAGTTTGGGCTTACCCCTGGCGGCTTTTGATAGGTGTGCACATGAGTATAGTGATGAGTAGGAGAGTGGTGTGTTATGTCTTTTGACCATGTACTTGCATATGACTCTAGTATAGGATTCTTACCAATATATTATGCATAGTGGTGAGCACCTCGTTTATATTTGTGCTCATCCCCACCTGCTCTTCATTGATGCAAGTTAAGCACATGTTGGGCATGACGAGACTGAAGACGAGTGGATGATTAAACATTATTATTGCTTTATATTGCTTTTGCATGCTTTGATATCTATGTTGAGATTATCAGACTTTGTTATTCTTCCCTATCGCTTTTGGGATTGGTTGAAGTGTTTGAACCATGTGGATTATTATTATCAGTTTAGATTATGTTGACAATCCTTTTGCTAGATATGTTGAAATCTAGTCATAGAGATTGAATTATGTTGAATATTCTCGTTTCCTTTATGCTGATTATGTGTTAAGCTTTGCAAAGTTCTCGAGCAGCGCCAAATGTTTTAAAAAATGATTAATGCTTTCGAAATTTTAAAACAAGATTTTTGGATAAGTCCGGAATTGTCTTTAAAAATCTTTAGGGCGTTACAGTTTGGTATAAAGCCGCGATCCAAGCCCAATTTCGCGGCCCAAGTGTGGGCAGTTTATGGCTAGTGTTTAGACAGTGCGGCCCAATTGATTTTCAGCCAATTTTTGTGTTCTGGAGTCCATTTTTAATACCGATTTCAAATATAAAAATTATTTTTTCAAAGGAGAAAAATTTGAGAAATTATTTTAAGTCCCGAAACTTCAATTTTAATTCTCCGAGTCCCATTTTTCTAAAGTGAGAGAGTTCCAAGTTCACAAAAAATCCAATTAAAACCCTTTAGTCTTAATTTTTATTAAGCATGGGTTTTATGTTTAATTCGAGTAGTGAGATAGATTATTGATATATTATCTCGTTTAAATGTAGGTGTTTGAGGAGTCGAGCTTCGACCTACGTTCCATTACTTTTCGTGTTTTGCCATTTCAAATACCAGGTGGGTTTTAATCTAAAATTTGCTATGTTATAATTGAGGTAAGATTTTTATACTAAGTGTCTATGAATGTATGTATGAGTCATGAGACGGTGCCTAGTGGTGGGCGATCTCTAACCTTGTGATAGGTAGACTCATTTTAGCCTAGTCGATGGGTCGTGACCGTTGATGTTGAACCTCGGCACGACTGTACTCCCGCTGACGAGATTGGGCTTACCCCTAGCGGCTTTTCATAGGTGTGCACATGAGTATAGCGATGAGTAGGAGAGTGGTGTCTTATGTCTTTTGACCATATACTTGCATATGACTCTGGTATAGGATTCTTACCAATATATTATGCATAGTGGTGAGCACCTCATTTATATTTGTGCTTATCCCCACCTACACTTCATTGATGTAGGTTAAGCACGTGTTGGGCATGACGAGACTGAAGACGAGTGGGTGGTCAAACATTATTATTGCTTCATATTGCTTCCGCAAGCTTTGATATTTATGTTGAGATTATCAGACTTTGTTATTCATCCCTATTGCTTTTGGGATTGGTTGAACTGTTGAACATGTGGAATATTTTTATCAGTTTGGATTATGTTGACAATCCTATTGCTAGATATGTTGAAATCTAGTCTTGGAACTTGAATTATGTTGAATATGCTTGTTTCCTTTATGCTGATTATGTGTTAAGCTCTGCAAAGTTCTCGAGTAGCGCCTAATGTTTTATAAATTGATAAATGGTTTAGAAATTTTAAAACAAGATTTTTGGATAAGTCCGGAATTGTCTTTAAAAATCTTTGGGGCGTTACAGTTTGGTATCAGAGCCAGGTTTCGATCCTGGGACCTGTGGGTTATGGACCTATAGACTGGTTTATATGTGATTAAGTGATTATGTGAATTGATCTTGTGTTTCGATCACTCGTCTTCGTCATACCGCACTGCTTATGTAACACCCCACTTTGATTTTAAGAAATTTCGGACTTTCCAAAAATCAGTATAAAAATTTTTCGAACTCATTTTCGAAAACCTGGGCGTTATTCAACATTTAACATCAACCAAGTCATATCTGGTTGTTCACATGGTTTTCATTAACCTTTAAACTTCAATTCCACATGATTATTAGCTAAACAATATAGCATGCATAATCGAAAACACATGATATTCAGTAAATAACTCCAATACGAATATCTAAACAAAAGGGTCCAAAAATCCCAAAAAGGACAGTTTGAAAAACAGTTCAACATGTCTCAAGAAACAGACTTTATTCATAATGAAAGTGAAATCATAAACACATAAATCATGACCGACCCACTTGTCTTTCCCCCGTCATCCGGCACCTGCTTAACCTGCATCCGTGAAGAGCAGGTGGGAGTGAGCACAAAATGAACGTAGTTCTCACTACTATGCACATAAATAATACATGTCAAATGGTATGGTCGCAGAATGAATATAAGATAATCACATCATGTCTCATCTCCTATCAAAATCACAACAAACCACATTACTCATGTGCACATCTATCGCTAGCCGCAGAACGGGGATTCATTACCCGAAGGCTGGAGTACATGCCACGCTACAGACACGGTCTTCCATATGG